GTGAAACACTTAGCACTCTATGAACCTTAGGTTTTAGCTGGCCACAAAGACTCGCTTCAATAAAATCTTGGATAAGTGAACGAGAAACTTCCATCCCTCGATCTCCATTTCGCCATTTTTTATCTCATCACTTTGACACATCTCATTTCTGTTGTCACGGTATTAGCGGTTGTCACATTTATGCTCCGTGACAAGTTCCTCTATTCTCTCTCAAGCTTAAGTCTCGAATTTTCGGCCTCATTGCGCTCGTGTAGTGTCGCAGTAGATGAGCAAATATTGGCGGTATCGAACACTCACAGATCAGGCGTATGACAGTGATTTACCTTGTGGGAAGGATAAGGTGAAATCCTTACAAATTGGTAAGTTGGTGAACTTGTGGAATTTGTCTGGCTTGATCATTTTGAGAGTCGATCACGTAAATAGTAGTTAGAAACTCAGGCACAATCCAATCATCCAAATATCAAAACAATGTAGACATGTTTTATAAAGTTACCGCTAATGCGATCAATTTAGTATACTGTCAGAGCCAACTTAAGAACAAATTGGCGATTTCGCACATGGAGAAATGGATCATCTATGGAAAATACCGAATTACAGATCCGTCGGATTTCCGGGTACCTCGTGCATCATCGACAGCATCCCGTATAGCAAGTGCCAGTAATCCTAGCCACGAACCAACACCTGTAGAGCCACCGACTTCATCAACTCCACAAATACAAAGTGCTACTAATACCAGTGAGTTCATGTTTGAATCACTGAAACAACTAAAATTTACGATGTTTAGCTTCTCCAAACTTTGAAACTCTTCGCTTCCATCAGATGACCGGTAGACATGTATCACTCAATACTATGCGAAATATGGCTAGTCGTTGTAGCAGCGAATATGCACAGGGTTACGTTTTTTCCGAGCGACCGATCCGTAACAATGAGAAGGTAGTCATCGAGGTTGGTGATTTCTTATAATGCAGGAAAAGATGTATACGTTATGATTGCGCAATTTTTAGATAGTAAGCGTTCAGCAACTTTACAAAGGTGGCCTCGCATTTGGAGTTACGTGTTGTGATCCATCGACGCTTCGCTCAGCCGACCTTCCAGATGACTCCTCAGATCTGATTGAAATGCCACAATATTGGGTTGGAATCAAGGATATTGCCTTACAACCTCGTGTGAATACCGTGCTTAGTTTCTGGATCACTGATGCGGGCTAGTTTCTACATTTTTCTTCATTCATAGAAATTCCATATCTGAAGCATGGAATCCAC